GGGGAGGCTGCCCCTTACTCATGAATCAATTATCTGATCCAATTGTAGGGGCGAGGGAGACACCAGCTAGAATTGATCAAAACAATGTTGAAGGGGATGTAGTCGGGGGAGCCCACCAGCGGACACTGAATATGATTAAACATTTCAAAATAAACGGACCCTGAGACTCGCTAAACGAACTGTAGACTACAACCATACTGCGAGCTCCTATAGAGCTACGAGGCTTTCGTCATATGCTCAACACTGTAAAGAAGTTGGTTGGATCTGGCCGCCTTTCTTAGGAATGAACCGAAAATCTAACTTAAAGGCCGTTTGACCAGACCTCCCTACGTACATAAACTCTGGTCAAACACACACCTGAATAATTTAACGCAACTTTTCCGTTGTAGGTCTTGGGGGGGATGCTGGACATACACCCGCCTGCTCAGAAGATTTGAAATGCCCGCCGCTCAAAGGCAAGCGGACTCCGGAGGCCACACTTGCCAGAATCGCTGAAGCTCACTGACACAGCTGCCGAACGAGATTGATGTATTCGTTGCACATCAGCTGTCGGAGCAGCAAGCAACTGGACAGGTTCTGGCCCTGCGACTGAATCGTCTGCTGGCTGTGGCTGCATAGTCAGACCAGCTCGGCTGGCTGAGCTTGTGCACAGGCATGCAAAGCTGCGTGAGCCCGTGGGGGATGTGCTTTTTGGCATCCTCGAAGCGTCTGAATTACTAACATAGGATCCGTGATTCCTTGCAGCTATGTTGCGCAGGAAGTCCAAGCAAAATAAGCATCGGCCTGTTCACCCATCCAAGCTTCTGTGGCCCTGGACGTGACTCTTCAACGCTTCTGACTGTGGATGAGGCAACTACTTATGTACAGGCTCGTCCTAGTTTGAATCTTCGAATCTGAATGTCACCCACGGCTTGCAGCAGTGCAAAGATTGAGGCTCTACCCGCTCCACATTCGCAGAGGGGCTTGCCACATCTGAGCGGAACTGCCAGAAGTTGATTGATACCCGAATTTATACTTGTTGTGCTTCCACAGCTGGCAGAGCGGCATGCATCAGGTGCTCATTTGCACACACCGTATGAGACATACTGCGCAGGTGCACTTGTTGACGAACAGCGGGCTGGAGTCTTCTCTTACCATGGCTCTACAAGGAACTTTGCTAGCACGGCTCGATGCCATATACCTCAATTTTTCTTGGTAGCTGTCTGAGAAATTGAAGCAGCGAACGCTCTTGGTCAACTTGCCGTGCTGTGATGTGATGGGAACTGTGGCCAGGAACAATCTTGCTGATCCGCTTACGTAGCTCAGAGGCCCAAGGGTTATTCCGAGCCTCAGGCGCCCATGCAGCTGCTACTGCATCAGAACATGCACAGTGACATTGTGGGGAAGAGCTGTGGCACCCGTAGAATCTCAGCACTGCTCTGTATCTACACCACAAAGTAGTGGCGTGTTGGGAACTGTTGCTTGCGATGAGACTTCAGTAGCAAGTTCTGCGTAAACTGCTCGTCTCAAAGTTGACTTTCATGTTTTCGGCTTGATTCGCTAGATGCCCAGCATCCATCTTCAGAAAAAGTGGACCGACCACATCGTTTCGTGGCATCGGTCGCATACAGAGAACCTATGACCTCAAGCCCTGCCCCGGCATGGGGGTCATGAGTTGTGCACATGATGCTCAGTGTCTCTTTCAACACTTTTCCGAAGTCCAGCCCCAGGATATTGCAACTTCCTGGCATTTGTACTACGCTGTTTGTGAGGCCCTCGTGCAGCAGAAGACGGGAAGCCAAGCTTCCTGAGTTTGAGGTCATATAGAACTCGTGTCCAGCTGTTGCTCCGAAACCCGGAAGTGACGGGCTTCTAACGTGATGTGCAGAGCTCTAGGACTGGTCAACGGAAACCCATTTGCGAGGTGTTTAAGTTTCAGGCATCTTGGGATTGGAGGTTGAGAAATGGCGTCTTTTGGGTGGCAGCCGCTGCTCTGGACATAACACGCTGCCTGCGCCCAAGCTAGGCCTCCTGACTGCCCGTGCTGCAGCAAAGCCACAGTTTCTCGCTGATCAGCTTCTACTAATATTGCAGCTGGCGCCAGAATCTTGCGAGCAAAACGCAACCCTTTTCAGGAAGCCGTAGAATCAGACGCGTTACACTCAACCGTTGTCAGGACCGTGCTGTGTGTTTAAGCATGACAAGGCTCACAGCGCTACACTTGTGCGGTGGAGTCAACGTTACTACCTGGAAAGGAGGATTCTATGACAGGGTGAACTTTGAGCGCAGAGGAGTCAAAAGGCACTGGGCAAGTAAGCACCCAAGCGTTGCTGATGCCGGACGACCTCGGATGCATTCGCTGGATGACTGTGGCACGGGCAATGCCATTATGATATGAGACATGCGCTATATTGACCTTCATGGAATATTGCTACCGTGTTATCTTATTCCCATCATGGTGCATCGCTGGGCTCCTGGCTATGACTTTCCGGATTCACTGGTTGCTGAGGACGTACCAGCAAGATAGACCAATCTCGGCCGGCACCAGGATGTCATGACAACGAAAATCAACGAATCCTTCACAGTCAAAACCTGAGACCGCCCCAGCCTACTCCTCAGCAAACTTGGAGACTGGTTGCGTGTCAAAAGCTCCAATTAATCTGACGCGTCTCACAAGCGAATGAAGTCCCAGACCCCTGCTCCTTCAAACTTGACCTCCATCTCCCAAAGCCCGAATGCCCTGCTCACTGGGGCCGCGGCATAAATTGACCAGAGGCCAACCTGAGCAGCATTGGTCAGTTCCACGCACTAGTCCAAACACCCTTCTGAGCACCCATTGCCGGATGGGGGTTCCTCCCCCTTGCAGAAACAGAGTCGGACAAACCGCTGACATCTATTGCGCAGCAACGAACCTCAAGCAATCTCCTGATGTTTTCTGAAGCTGCAAGCAGGGAGCTAAGAAGATGGAGCTGAGGTACCTCGGCCAAGATTGCCCAGCTAAAAAGGCTTCAAGCGGGACAGGTCCTTTCAAGGATCGAGACAGGATGACAACTCCAAGAGTCGACAGGAGAGACTTGGCTGCAATTGGAAAATTGCAATCTGGAAGTTGAAAAGCTGCTGGGCTCGCTGTTTGCAAAGTCTTGCACACTTGACAGATGCAACCCACGATGTCAGACCTCCTCCTTTGAAGTAGAGTTCCTGGTGGCGCCCAGGCATGACACTTCAACGAGTGTGAAGCACTACAATCCCCGCATACTGTGCAATATCCGCTCATGACGCGGCTGCTAGCTTGCGGAAGTCAGTGGCCAAAGGGCAAGTGGAATCGGACCCTAGAGTTCACCGTAAGCTACATAGAAGAGGAAATATTTTTCTCAACCTTGCAGCCAGCCGGCGCGAAACATCTTGGACCTCCCAGTTCTCCACCGAAGGCCTCGAGAGCGAGCTGAAGAACAGGACATCGAGGATCAAAGTTCATTATGTTCATATCTACTGTGGCAGACTAAGAAACCCTCTCTCTTGTTTTGGGCCAGTATGTAGAACGCCTTTCCTACCACTAAGAAGATTGCGCAGCGCAACTCAAGGCTTGCATAGGCCTGAGGGAACGAGCCATCAATAGATAGCAACCATTGCACACCGCAAAGGGTTGTGCTTGATCTGCCTAGCACAGCACCTTAACAAGGCCCGCCTTCTACACAGGCAGAACTCTCCTCTGTAACAGGGTTTACAACCTCATAGGCCTATGACATGTTGTCAGAATGCGATTCTTGGTTCCCACGAGGACAGCACGCGTCGTCTGATGGCGAGCAGAATCACACAGGAGATGGCGCAGCAACTAAAGACCTCGCGATGTTGGATGGCATTGGTCATGGCTCCGGAAGACCACAAGAATCTGAGTCGACGGTGCATCAGGCCCGATGTCCCTTCCGTCTTCTAGTTCGCTGGAACCCTTTCATACTCGAGCTCAAACTCAATCCAGGTCTAGGCCAACTCTCATAGCTACCGAAACGTGAAGTGTTGAACCTCAACGATTGCCCGCGCTTAGGCCGTCGCCATCACGCTGAAGGCAAGACCTCCAGCCTCCACTACAAAAGCCTTGGTCGCCGAGGGCTTGGAGGTTGAGGCTTCTACAAGGTGGTGACATGTCATGATGTGACATCCAGCTTTGGAGGCCATTGGTCATCTCAGCATCTTTCAAGAGGGCTCGGCAAAGGCGTGCTCACGTGCGGGATTCCTGTACACTGTACACCTCGGACCCCACGCAGGCCGCAGGCCCACAGCTAGGCAGGACATTTGCTGAAGCGCTCTTGTTGGGGTCCCCATCTTGGCTACGTCAACGTACAAGACCAAGTCGATGCTTGTACCCCAACAACGGGCTCCAACTGGAGCTGCGCCAGAGCAGCCGCTGGATAACTAAACTCCTGGACCAGATGGCATGCAACTTGAGTACCTTGATTCGGGTGGATCTCTTGAACGACTCTGGGGAATTGTACTCAACTCTCTTGTTACGATGTTGCCATTTCATCCCCAACCTGAGGTCGTCCAGTTTCTCATATGGCTTGTGTAAATCGCAATGCACACGCTCGATTCTGGTATCAGAAGCACTTTGCATGCGGATGTTGTTCTACATTCCAGTGCCGATGTCCCAGCATTAGGGTTTCCTTGCGTGCCCCCTTGTACCGTCTTGCGCGCATGATGTTTTACACACATTGCGACATAAATCCCACGCACAATATAATCACTGCATGTCAGAAAGTACTTTTGCTCACGCCCGCCTTTGCGCGAGATTGCGCATGCATGGGTTGTTCAACCCCTTGTAAAACCCTAATGCCGCCCTCGGTCTTGCTACGAGAGGCGGGGGTTTAGAACGGCAGCCATGTGCACTTGCAACCTCTATGTGCCCAACGGTCTCATATTTGTGCAATTGTACACAAGGGCGTGCCCAGAAGGTCCAGTGCTTTTGGCAAGAAATCAAAGCGTCTGTCCCTACTTGCAAGTACGTCCTCTTCCAACGCTTCTCCAAATCAGGCTCTGCGTTTCCAGCGCATGCTGGCAGCCGCTTCTGTCTGAGGAGAGACCTGCAATCATAGTATAGACGCTGCGAACTTTTCTGCAATCCAATGCTTTGGCACAAAGCGCGGCTGTCAGATTTGGAGCGCTCCCTCCGTGATCCCTCTATTGAACAGCAAGCTGCTGGTGCACTTCCAGCCTGATGCCAAGACGGTCTGTTGTCATCTGCTTTCATGTATGGCATAGCAGAACCCCTGCGTATCTCAAGCATGCTGGCACCAGCACTCCTTTCAAACAGGAAGTGCGGCTTCTAATATTGTTTCACATTGCCGCAGTATTGTTGCTGCCTGAGCCTTTGCAACTGGCTCAGCGGCCACGTCGACGCCGGGGCACAGCTGCGCGAGCAGGGTGTCCACAGCAGCCTGGTCCATGGGATTGGAATCTGGGCCTGTGGCCTGCTTTCTTACCACAATTTTCCACATGTTCTGAACCTTAGCAGAACGATAGTGTCAATAGCACGACTCTCCCTTCCCTCTCACAGGACAGCAGAACGTGTCAGAAGAAGCCGTAGCTCAGCAAACACGACCTCTGCCTTGCCCAAAACGTGCCACCTGGCCGCCTCCGAGCCAGCATCAGCAGCATCAGAAGGCGTCCGTTTCTCTGCCCGGGAGCGGTCCAGCCACGCGGTCATCAATTTCTGAGCAGACCACCCGCGCAGGCCACTCAGGAGTCGCGTGTGGACTTTTCAATCTGGGGTTGCCGATGCAGCTGGTGCACGACCACATTGATGCGGGAGCGTGGAAGTCCACTTGCGCGGATGGGCCGGCAACTATACCAGCCACCCCTCCTTTGTGGCCAGTTAACAACCTTCCCCTGCGCGGCCTGGCTGCCGATATGCAGCCAAATTCAAACACATTTAGGGGTTTCCCTTCCCCCACCGGGCTCAAAACACAGAAAGCTTCAAAGGAAGCTTTTGTAACTACAGATTCCAACAGCTTCACGCCCCCCAAAACCACGGCAGTTGCACCCCTCAGCTCAAGCAGAGGGTCCAATCAACGGGTCTGCAGATTAAACATGCAGGGTCTCCTCCGCTTCCGGTTGCATGTCAACCCTCTGCCTGTGTCTCCTGCATGGTCTCAACATGGCCCACAGCGAGTCGCAGCCAGGTGCCCTGGAGGCCCTGAGAGATTGAAGACTGAACTCAACTGCCCTTGCCGTCTAAGGAAGATGTCATCTGCTCAAACTCCTTGGGTAACTTCTGGGGCCCTTCAACATATGGCGGATGTCCGCTACTGAAATCATCAGTGCCAGTTGCCGCAAGCCCTGCCTGCGCTCCTCCGCGTGGCCACTCGCAGGCATTCGAAAGTGCAGATTTCGGCCAGGGATCGACCTGAACCAGCTGAGAAGAATTGCTTGCTAAATGCATCTGCAACTCTTGCGGCTCTTAATTGCTCTTATTCCACAAGCTTCTCCTGGGATCCCAGTACACGTTGGCACCTCACATGGATGTCCTGATGATTAGTCTTTTGGCCTGACCCGGCAGACTCAGAGTGACTGGTTTCATGTGTCCCAGTGGGCCGCTGGCCACACGCATTCTTCGAATTTACGCCCTATGTGCAAGTTCACCTTCAAGCCTGCCCATCTGAGCTCGCGCCAAAATTCTTATTCCCAGAAGCGGCCGCATCTTAGTTGGGTTTCCCCTATCGGTANNNNTCGGTAAGCAGGGTTTGCGTGAAATTATAAACCATGGCCGCCCGAAGACTAGTTCCTTTCATGGAGATTAACGGTTGTGGCTCTCTTAGACAGTGACGATGAAGCTTCCAAGCCCACGTCCAAACCAAATGACAACCAAGAAAAGCTTACACAACAAACAGTGTCAAGCATGAACCACTGTGTATCACCAAGCAGCGCGTGAGTCGGCCGCACCGAAGGAAGTCTTAAATTCAGGGCAGGCTGCGCCGCGAGTGAGCACACTCACGACGGCTTTTTTTGCAGCACCCACGTGGAACCAAATACAGCCGGGACCTCAGGGGGCCTGTAATATGCACAACGGCCAGGAGCAAAAGACTTGAAAAAACAACCTCAAGTAAACGACATCTATGCTCCGCCTCCACGTGTGAGGTAGCGTTGAGCCAGGCCATGTGTCGGGTGAGATGCCAGTGTCGGGTACATGACTCGGTTGACTGCAGGGTGCGCTTCCAAATGCACGGCGATGGCCTCCGCAGTGGCTGAGATGGTTGCCATCCTCTTGCTGATGGTCTGCAGGCCTGCAATCCGCCAAAACAAGCTGGATAAAGCTCGGCCATGAGTAATTCTATTTTCCAAAGCAGTCAAGGCCTTGTAAGAAGATTTGGCAATGGTCAGCACCCACAAAGACGCCAAAGACTGTAATCCAGGAAAGCACTGGAGCTATCAGGGAGCTGGCGCCGACCACAAAGCCACCAATACATCGGCCAGCTGACACGTACCTGCATCCCAGGAAGGTGGTCCAGTTGACAGATTCGCGCTTCGTACTGGGCCAAACTCTTTGATTAGGCCGCGCTGCTTTGTCATGCTCTCTAAGACGATGTCGGCTCCGTGCTCGAAAGGGTTGAAGAGGGCGCCAGATAACCACGTGTTGTCCTTGCCCATTGCAGTCAGACTGCTTTCAGTCTATCTGCACCATGTGCAAAACTTAGACATCTGGCATCCCATCCCTGACCAACCAGAAAGCACCCGGTCTGGATTGTGCCAAGGGTCGCACACGAAGACACACTGTGGCGCAAGGGCTCTCAACCTGAGCAGGCAGCTATCAAGCTCAGGATTGGTGAACTTCAGTCTCTGCGGCTTGCATCAGAAGCTTAGAACAAAACGACTGAACGCACGACTTCCGCCTACGCCGCCTCTGAAACAACTCACTCCCGCTTCATGTGTTAGGAAACAACACTTGTGCAAACCAGTGCCGTGCAGCTCTTTGAGGAGCGTAAAGTCGAAGATCTGTCCGCTGGGGTTTGTGCATGCCTGCGGCTGTAGAGGCTGAAGAGGTAAGGAGTCGCAGGAATGACTTCGGCTAGCGCTGCATAGCATGGCGCGAATTCAAGGCTGTATCAGTGCTGAAAGCAAACCGCAAGTGCGCAGCACATTGAATTGAATAGGGAAATGCGAATTCGGGATTCGTCCAGCTTCTAGGCACATGTCGGTTTACAGCCCAGTGCCTGATAGAGAAACGTTCTGGCCCCGTACAGTACAAGGGGTCTGAAGAGTTCCCTGGTGCTTTGCTGACCTCGAAGTGGAATAGCCGGATGCCGGCACCCTTTTCTGTGAAAAGCCGTCGGAGCCTCAGGAGTTGGAGACGCGACATTTCTCGCGTACAGAAAGCTCGCAGCCTTCAGCCCAGGCCTCTGGGTATCTCGAATCTCCACTGGGCAGGTGGTGATTTTGCCTCCGCTTGCTTCGGCCACATACTGCACGGTGCGCGCCACCTTCCGAGCTGAAGCAGGAGCTGGTCACAATACAGGAGCACTCTGAAGCTGCGCTGGCAATTGCTCCAAAGTCTGAAATAAGATCAGCTTTCGAGCTTCAAAGCAATTGTTGTAATATGGAAGCCCTGATCCAAAGTTTCTCCTGGACAGCCCCTCCCTCCCCCGGGCGTCGCAGTACAGCTCATCTCCGTATACCAGAGTCCACTCCTGGCCGCTGCAACTCGCGGCTACCTGGGCTCTTGGGAACAGCAAGGACAAAGAACCTCCAGACTTCAGCAGGAGAGGAATGAATACAAATGGCTTGTGACATAGGAAGGCAAAGCATCAGAATGCTCATCATGCACGGAACTAGCGACGGAGCATGAACAATAAAGGGACACTTCTTTTCAAAACGCGAGATCACAGCAACTGACAGTGCAATTCCCTGCGCTTCAAGCGAAATCTTCCTGGACAGGGGACATGTTGGGCCCCGACCTGTATTACTGTATAGACACCCCACAAAGCAATTTGCTATGGCTTTGCCGGCATGGAAGTGTGGTACAATTCTGGTTTGGATGCTGCTTGCAACTAACACTTGTGCAGCGCTCAAAGTGCGCTCCGACTTGGTGGAATTCAACTGTCCGCAAGAAATTCGCAATTTGCAAATCTCAGGTGTAGGACCGGGAACAAACAAAGGAGGGGCTTCCTTTCTTGCTTTGGAATACTGGAGACAAGGGCTTTGATCCTGACGAGCTGCAGAGGACATGACCGCCCCGATGGCTCCCATGCCCGAAGGCAAGATCAGGGCATGGTTTGTGTTGCCTGAGGTGTTGGAACTGTCGGGCTTCAGAAATGCTTTGCCAGTAAGTGAACAGAGCTGTGCCGAACGGGTGGCTATCCAGGCCATAGAGTCGCATCAAGGAGCTCTCCAAGTCCTGCAGGTAAGGACACGCATTGGTACAATGATCAGCACTACAATGATTGTCACGGTATCGAGAGCATCAGCCAAGCTTTCTGGCTACAGCATACTTTGAAGAGATGTCGAGTCACAGTTTTTCAGCCTGTCACTTGTCCTCTCGGGCTTTGCTCCAGGTGCGGCTGTACACAGGGCCATGCTGCGAACGACCGCGTGACTGGCTGAAGACAAGCTCCTCCTCTCAGGCAAGGCAGTGCCTAGGAAGGAAGCAGGTTTATGATTTCGTTTGCCCCTGGGATGTACAAGAGGTGTTTTTCTAGCTCTCGCCTCGCTCAACACCAGAGCAGGGCAAGGCGAAGGCGTTCATCGTTTCAGGCTGACGTCCGCTTTCTACCCGGGATCAGAGATGCAGCAAGCATCCTATACCCTTTGCAGAACTGCAAAGTTATTAGAAGCCTGACACAACGCTTGCTTTGAGACAGCTGTCATTGTTCAACTGTCTTGTTGTCAGATTAAACTCATCTTTGCTTAGGTCAAATAGTGCTCCTCGTCGTGCCCGGGCGTGCCATAGCCCCGGCTTGCCATGGCGGCTGCTAGTTCACTTCAATCCACCTCTTGAGGCTGCAATCTGCGGCACTTGCAAAAAGGTTGGTGGCCTTGCAAGCAAGGAGCCACCCGCCAAGCCATCTCATCCAGTGCTGCACAGCAGTGATGCTTGCATCGATCAATGCTCTGCAAAACCCCAGCAACATTCCTGCTGCTACAACAACCTTACGCCTTACGGTAATTGACCTGCATGCTCGGGCCGGTGTTGAACAGCCAAAGCGCTGCCCTGAGGGACACACGCCACTTTCCCAGGATGTGCCAACAATGAACTCCTTGTCCTCAAGTCTCATAACAATCAAAGCCAAGAGCAGGCTGTGGGTTTCGCTGGCAACCTTGAATCAGCTTAAACAGCAAGCGTTTGAAGATGCGCAACCTAACAGGTCAGTAGACTTGCTGTTGCAGAGGGCTACGGTGGGCTTACCACATATCAGGTTTATCGACGTCCTGTATGGCTTCCGAAACCTGGTTTATGCTCTCAGGATGATACTCCCTTGTCTGCTGGCCCTATATCTACTTTGTACTTACTTGCGATTAAGATGACTGTTGCTTTCATGTGCGGCTGGTGCTTCGTCGGCGAGTAAATTTATCCTCCCACATACCACATGCAGACATCCACATCGTCTCAGCATTACTTTGCAGACGATTGCTTGTTTTATCACACCAGCAGGATCCCTTCCACAAGCAGAGCCGTAGAACATCGTAGAATGTTATACGGCCTCAACCATCCATAGGAAGTTTGGGATTACCCGCATACAGCTTCCCATGCTGAGAACAACCCTGCGGAATCTAGGAGGGCACCTTGAACCGGGCGAGCCAGACGTCGTCCACGCCACCAATGGTCCACCACAGAGCCTGGGCGGTACTGTTGGAATGCTTGTCATACTCAACGCAACAGCCAACAGATCTAGACAAACAGTTCTCGTGCTGTAATTCCTCACCAACAACAAAAGCGAGCCTACTATGACCTTTCCCTCCCTATTGCCTCTGAACGCAGAGTGGGAAGCAAAGTAGGGCGCGAAGATACACAACTCCGAATGCCATGCATCTGGAAGGCTTTCTGGCTGCCCTCGCGACCCAGGCGAGTGCTTGGCAAGAGTTGGAAACTGTACCACAGGTCTGACTCAGGTTCCAGCCCCCAGGGTCCATGGCATGCCAAGGCCCAGGAAGACATTCACCGAATTACTTCCTGTCAGCGGCTTGACATCGCAGCAGGTGGTTCAAGAGGTGCGCAAGGAACTCAAGCGTTGAGTCAACTAAGCCTGTTTAGGATATGATATGATGCACTTTCATGTATGTAGATGATACACGAACGCTCTGTCGGTCTTGATGGTCCTGGCGCGGTATCACTCATGCTAGAAGCTAGGAATAGGATTCTACAATCCGTTCGCGTGTCTCGTTCAAGGGGTGAGCCTCTCGGGCAAAGCCAGCTCTTGTTGCTGCATGGACATGTCTACAAAGCGCATGTTTGGGTGTCCATAGACCTGTTCTGCCTGCCCAAGTGAAATTCACATCGACTGCATGACAAAACTACCGCTGGGTCTCAGCTTCACGCAGTGGTTGTGCATGAGCTACTCGCAGATCGTGCATTGCTATCTTTCGTACTCTGAGCTGTCAAGCTCTCCAAGCCCTCATCCCTGCAGCAAGGCAGGCCTGTGACGTTGCCCACTGAAGCATCTGCTGTTGGATCCTTCCAATTTGGAGGTTCCGCATCCCCTTTAGTCAAAAACCTCCTTCCTGGTTTATCTGAGCAACGTGATCTTCTAGTTCTATGAGCCTGGAACACACACAGACGCACACGTTGTGTCGACGTTAAGAGTAGTTGCTGCTTCTCTAGCCTGCTGCACCCTTCAAACACAAGCATTCGCCCCTTCATGCCTTATGAGAACCCTGGGCCCGACCTGTACAGCTGCTGATCGGCTAGCGAAGGTGTCGGGCAGGGACGTTCCAAGGGCCACCTTGGCGGGACAGGCAGAGGAAAGGGACTAAAGGGCTCCAGCTGTAGCCCCCACCTCAAAGAACTGTCGTGTATCCAGCCCTTCCACAAAGCCTGCAAGTCAGGCCTGTGATTTAGGCATAACTTCATTGCTGCAGCAACTGCACAACATGTAACATGCTCAATAAATTGTAGCCCCAGTCGCGTGAGCACAAACAAGATCTGAACCACCCAACAATGGCACTACGTCAGGAAAAGAAACATTACATCAAGATGTTTCGTGGCCTTTGCACCAAAATCGCTAGTTGGTGCGGTCTTCCAGCATTAATGCTGTGTTGTCTTCTGACGCAGCTTCGACATGCATTGAGACCCCAAACCGCCATCCTAATTGACCAAGCCCAGCTAAAGGTATCACCCCAACCCCCCATCCATAAACCTAATGTAAACCACAAGACCCAGCCATCAGGCCACGGGTCCACAGGGCAGGGTGGGGTCATAGGTTGTAAGCCCTCTACACGCACTATAAACCGTCTATAAACTTTCATTTGCACTTTATTAAATCGCAAGAACCAGACCTCAGACCACAAGACCACAGGGGAGAAGATAGCCACCATACAAGGGCAGGATGCTCCTAACCCCAAACCCCCAACCACACCACAGGGGCAGGGGGAAATCTGAAATTTTCCGATGTTTAGTTACCACAGAAAACCACCAGCCATTCGGTAGGATGTACGGGGAGAACAAATTGGGGTGGGGGACTCATTTGTGCTCATTTGCTTGAGGCCAGGTGCCAATGTGATGGCGGTGATGGAACTGCCAATGCCCAGGACGCACCTTGGAGCTGCTCGAGCAACTCTCAAAGAAGCACATTTATCTGATCAGTGAGTTCTCCACATCTTCAGGGCATGATGCAGCAAGTGTTGACGTGAGGAGACCTACTAAACCCCGCACCCTTCCCGTGAATGAGACAATGCCTTTGCCTGCATGGCACATCCCTGCACGGTGAAACCGCTGCATATCTGTGCCCGCACAAGATGCCGATAACAAAGACTATCAGGACTGTAGAATTCTTGGCTACAAGGTGACGGGAGCCCTGCTCTTACTCTAGGACTCTAGGAACCCTTGCCAAGCCCTCACCGAGCCATTCTAAAACCCCGGAAGTAAGAGCCCGAGCCCTAGCAGTGCGGCCACATCTCCAACCACGGCTGTCAGTAGACCTGTGCGCAGGATTCACGCGGGAAAGAGAATTCTGAAGGTATTGAGCTGAAGCATGCAGGTGGACGATAAGTAGATTGATGGGGCATCAACCTTCCGTCTCAGTTTCACAACCTCGCTCTGGGTCTCTGACCTTTCTTTTGTGTTCATCCGCTCACTCTATCTTTACAGTACGTGTCAAGGTCCTGGGTACATCAAAGCATGCAGAACCCGTCTTTCAGGCATCAATCCACCGCATCACGGTAGGCACCGGACTTTCCCGTACACTTTGAGCCCCAGAGGGCATGACAGAAGCAGTGGTCACTCCGAGAGGGCGGCCTATGCCACCAAGCGAGCAGAAGAAGCAAAGCCAGCCGTCGCAGAAACCGGGAGGCGGTATTACCCTCAGGCTCTGAGGGCTCAGTGTCGACTGCTGCAATTTCTTTTCAAGCTGCAGCGCGAATACTGAGATCAGGACGAGAAGAAGATCTTCCAAGGAACGACTAAGACCTCATTGCGAGCTCGGCCCACTCTAGCGGCTTCTAGAACCACACCTCTGCCGGTAGAAACAGAAGCAAGCTGTTCATACCGGCATAAGCAGGACTGCGGAATGTTCTCAATCTGGGGAAGCACGCCTTCCGGGGGCTCTGGGGGAATCAGAAATCACTTAGGACGTGGAGAAACAAATCGCCTGGGACGAGAAAACAGAGATCACATGGGACGAAAGCAAAAAGTTCTTACGGTTCAGGGGCGTAAGGTTGTTCAGGGTTAAGGGGTCTTGGGCGCTTATTCTGACTTAGGGTTGTTTGCGTTTAGAGGCTTCGTATCGCTTGTGACTTCTCCAGGGTAAAGACTTTTAGGCTTTAGGGATTTAAGGGGTTTGAGGGTTTAAGGTTTGAGGCTTCTTGGGGTTTAGCTTTTCAGGCGCTTAGGGTTACAAGGGTTTAGGATATTTCGTGCGTTTAGTGTTTTTGGCTTTAAGCTTTAGGCTTAGACTTTAGGGTTCTTGGGGTTTTTCTGATTTAGGGTATTTGAGTTTTTAGGATCTTTAGGGTTCAGGGTTCTCAGGGTTAAGCTTTTTGGGGGTCCAGTTAAGGGTGTGCAGGGATTCTTGGGGCTTGGGATCTTACGGGGTCTTTAGGGTCTAGGCGCGGAAGGGTCTTTAAGGTTAAGGGTTGGAGGTCTTTAAGGTTTATGGCTTCGAGATTTTTATGGTCCAGGGGTTGTTAGGGTTTTGTGGGGGTTTAGGGTTTACGGTTCATGGGGTGTTTAAGGGGTTTCGGGTGTCTGGCTTAGACTGTTTAGGATTTAGGGTTTCGCGCTCTTAGGGCTTTTAGGGTTTAAGGTGCTCAGGGCTTAGGCTTTTTAGGGTTTAGGGTCTTATGGGTCTTTATGCTTCAGGGACAGGGTCTAGGAGTTCAGGGTTTCTAGGTGGTTTCCGGGTTTAGGGTGTTTGGGTTTCGGGTTTTTAGGCTTCAGGGTTTTAGGGCTTGGGGTTGCTCGGCTTTAGGGTTTTTAGGATGAGGGATGTCAGTATCTAGGAGGCTAGGGTTTCTAGTGGTTTTCAGGTTTAGGTGTTCAGCCTTTCGGGTTTTTAGGCTTTAGGGTGTTTAGGGTTTAGAGTCTTTAGGGTGCGGGGTTTTTAGGGCTTGGGGCTTTCTGTGGTTTAAGGATGTCAGGATTTAGGAGCTTAGGGTTTATAGGTGGTTTTCGGGTTCAAGGTTTTTAGGGTTTCGGATTTTTAGGCTTTTTGGGTGTTTATGGTTTAGAGTTTTTAGGGTTTAGCGTTTTTAGGGCTTAGGTTTTGTATTCGGTTTGGGTTGGCGGTTGGTGTCATGTACTTCAAGGCAGA